TAGTATATACTAGGCACAGTTCATTCCATTTCCTTGTTACCTTGCATGGAAAAAGTTTYTAATTCTTAAAAGAAAAAGAAATCCATTTCTACTGAAAGCGCCCAGATCTCTGCTCTTTGGGACCATACTAGAGGCCTATTGGGATCGAGAAGCAGGTCATTATTATTCAGAGGATTATGTMCCGGTCATTTGTGTCCTTTTGCTTTTTTCACAAGTGACCTATAACACAGACACAGGATAAATTTTAAGTCTATGGGCAAAGTCATCACTTAAAGCAACTGGAACATGCCCTGGCTTTTACATGTAACATGTTATGAAATGCTTCTACTGTAACATGCAGCCTCTTTCTTGATAACATGAAGTACAATGGCCAGGCAGGTGTTTAATTGGAGTTTGTCATTTTTTTCTGTATCTCAAGGTATGGTTTCTTAACTTTGAACATTATGAAATTATGAGCCAAAATAAACTTTTCCTCCTTTAAGTKCATTTTCTCAGGTATTTTGTCATAGGCAAAATGTTAACTAACATATTCGTACATTACAAGTRCAAAACTCAAAACTTCTAAAGCCTAACTCACCTTAAAGTAGAATGAGTTTTTCCTTGTGATTTCCAATTTCAATTGAAGGTACTGTTATTATTCTACAGGCCCCACATCCTCAAGTTTTACCAATTAGTTCCTAAATTCTACCAACATCTTTTCCTCTCTTAATGATACCAATCAGTTTGCTGGGGCCGCTGTGAGCCAATCATCAGCTGGCAGCTGGAAGTTTGCTGGCAACTGGAAGTTTACTGGGGCCCCTTCGGCTGTGGCTCTCAACAATCTTTTCCTCTCTTAATGATACCAATCAGTCTGTATCTAAAAACTCATCTTGTACAAATCCATCCTTTATTAATTTCTTTACTCAAAATACATTCTTCAGTGTCTCTGAAATTACAGTCAACCAAAACCTACACTCCTTGTCTTGGCATTCAAGGATCCAACTTGCTATTTGCTTTAGAGGGGTATTGCTCTCAATATACGCACACATGCACATATATACAAATGTGTCACACTTGTTTCCCACACACATTCCTTACTCTACCATAATTACATCCGTGTTTACAGTTCTCTCTCTGTCCCACCAACCTTCCCTAAACTGACTAGTCAGATTATCCATTCTAGGAATCCACTTTCTTTGACAGTGACTTTTCCTTCAGCATACCTACAGAATTTAAGTGAATCACTTAATAGTCGTGCACTACCTGAAATTGCAGTTTGTACTTATCTGTATCATCTATCTTATTAAACAATAGGTCCCTGATAGCTGGCAAGGATTCCATCTTGTGCATCAATGGATCCCTCAATCTGTGTTACAAAATAAGTTCATTCCTACTCACTGGAGAAGTAAATGGTTCTGTCACCTGGATTATGTTTTTCAAAGGCATTCACAAAATACAGGCTGCTTGAAAAATCAAGTTTGTGACAATGCAGAGCTGCTCATCATGTGGAAGAAGACGGAGATGAGAAAGGGTGACCAGGGACAAAATATCCCCTTGAAAGGGCATGCCCCCAATGACCTACTTCCTCCAACCAGGTCCCACTTCCAAAAGTTTCCAACACCTTCCAGGAGCCCATTAAATGAAGTGTCCATRGATGGATTAATCCATTCATGGAGTCAGAGCCCTCCTGTTCTCATAGGATCTGATAGGACCCAAAGGTCCTATCTCTGAACACTGATACACTGGGGACCAAGCCTTAGACACATGACCTTTTGGGGGACATTTAAAATCCMAGCCATAAGAGAGTTGAACTAGGTGAATATTTGGATGTCATTCCCAAAATTAAAACCTTGTAAAATGTGTCTTATTATAATCTCATTTTTTAATTATTTATTTTTTAGGTGTAGATGGATACAACACAATGCRTTTATTTTTATGTGGTGCTGAGGATTGAACCCGGGTCCCGCCCGTGCTAGGCGAACGCTCTACCGCTGAGCCACARTCCCAGCCCTATAATCTCATTTTTAAAAGTATTTTTTGCCATCGAACAAAGAAAGGTGGGGCCACTRTATGTCATCAGGCTGTTTATATGATAGTCACATGTGGAGTGGAGGAGAGGAATGTTACTATTATTATTTTTTAACGTGTTTTGATTTTCTGAAAGTTACTTGTATAATTTGAAGAATAAAAAGGGTTGGCTATTTGAAGAAATTAATTCAGTAATGCATAGAGAAAAGGGAACTTTGCACTTTTGAAATCTGAAGGAAAATATGTTTWAAAAAAAAAAGTGAATTTGGACCCTTGGATAATGCTCAAATTTAAGGATCAGGAAAAATATAAGAGCTGGTCAGGATTCACAACTGGAAGAAAAGGAGGAAATTAAAACTTAAACTTGATTTCTTGAAGATTTTTTAAATGAAAGAATTATAAGATTTAATGGACCAAGTGTTTTCCATTTTGGATATTTTTAATTAACAGTTTTAGATGGAGTTAAATTTTCAATGATTATGAAATTACAAAGGACATATTCTTCTAAGTTTTTTTAACTTATTAAAAGATACATATCCTTACAAATGTGTCCTGAAGATAATTTAGGAATTTCATGCCTGACATATAGAATGATGGAATTTACTTTAGAAATTAGAAAAAAAGGGGTGAGATTTTAAAAATTATTGTTAGGTTTGCTTTTTAACCTTGACTTTACAAAACCTTATTGGCCCTTAAGCCTAAGTTGTCTTAAGGCTTAATKTTCATAACTTTGGAAATATTCATAATTAAGTAGTAATTATTAGTATAAAACACATTTCATTCAAATGACCTTTCCTTTTTCTTTTTTAGGTATATTTGTATCCAGTATTGTTCTTATTTTGTCACAGCGATCACTTTTCAAGTTTTACATGTACAGCTCAGCCTTTCTACTAGCTGCAACTTCAGTGTTGGTGAATTACTATGCTTCTTTGCACATTGACTTCTATGGTGCCTACAACACATCAGCTTTTGGAATTGAGCTGCTTCCTCGAAAAGGGCCCTCATTATGGATGGCACTCATTGTTTTACAGCTAACATTTGGAATTGGATACATCACACTACTCCAGATTCATTCCATCTATTCACAATTAATTATTTTGGATCTCTTGGTTCCTGTAATAGGCTTAATCACAGAGCTACCCTTACATATCAGAGAGACTTTAGTTTTTACCTCTTCATTGATTCTCATATTAAATACAGTGCTTGTCTTAGCAGTGAAACTTAAGTGGTTTTATTATTCCACACGATATGTTTATCTTTTAGTGAGGCACATGTATCGAATTTATGGATTACAGTTATTGATGGAGGACACATGGAAGAGGATTCGTTTCCCAGATATACTTCGAGTCTTCTGGCTAACAAGGATTACAGCTCAGGCTACAGTGTTAATGTACATTTTAAGGATGGCAAATGAAACTGAGTCCTTTTTCATTTCTTGGGATGATTTCTGGGACCTCATTTGCAATCTTATAATTAGTGGATGTGATTCTACACTAACTGTCCTGGGCATGAGTGCTGTAATTTCCTCAGTAGCCCATTATTTGGGACTTGGAATATTGGCCTTTATTGGATCAACTGAAGAAGATGACAGGCGGCTTGGCTTTGTAGCACCTGTTTTATTTTTTATTTTGGCTCTTCAGACTGGTTTAAGTGGGCTAAGACCAGAAGAGAGACTTATTCGCTTAAGTAGAAACATGTGCCTTTTATTAACTGCAGTCCTGCATTTCATCCATGGAATGACAGACCCTGTATTAATGTCTCTCAGTGCCTCCCATGTATCATCTTTTCGTAGACATTTTCCTGTTCTGTTTGTCTCTGCTTGCCTGTTTATTCTTCCTGTTTTACTTAGTTATGTTCTTTGGCATCATTATGCACTAAATACATGGTTGTTTGCAGTTACAGCCTTTTGTGTGGAACTCTGCTTAAAAGTAATTGTTTCTCTCACTGTCTATACACTGTTCATGATTGATGGCTATTATAATGTCCTCTGGGAAAAGCTTGATGATTACGTCTACTACGTTCGTTCAACAGGCAATATTATTGAATTTATATTTGGAGTAGTAATGTTTGGAAATGGGGCTTATACTATGATGTTTGAGTCAGGAAGTAAAATTCGGGCTTGTATGATGTGCCTACATGCCTATTTTAACATCTACTTACAAGCAAAGAATGGCTGGAAGACATTTATGAATCGTAGAACTGCTGTGAAGAAAATTAATTCACTTCCTGAAATAAAAGGGAGCCGCTTGCAAGAAATAGATGATGTATGTGCAATTTGCTATCATGAGTTTACAACATCTGCTCGTATTACGCCATGTAATCATTATTTCCATGCACTTTGCCTTCGAAAATGGCTGTACATTCAAGATACTTGTCCAATGTGCCATCAAAAAGTGTACATYGAAGATGATAGCAAGGATAATGCAAATATCTCTAACAACAATGGCTTTATTGCACCCAATGAAAATGAAAATCCAGAGGAAGCTATAAGGGAAGATGCTGCTGAATCTGACAGGGAATTGAACGAAGACGACAGTACAGATTGTGATGATGATGTTCAAAGAGAAAGAAATGGAGAGATTCAGCACACAGGCGCCGCAGCTGAAGAATTTATTAATGATGACACTGACTGATTAAAATAGCATTTACTAATCATTGAGGTATTTGTTTAAAATTCAGTTCATCCAAAATGGAGTAATATGCTTCACTTCAGTGTGTAACCAAGCACAAAAACAGTATCAATGTTGAATCTGTGAATGGTTTTCCGTTTACTGTGATGTGCTACTGTAAATATACCTCTTTAATTACTTCTGGTCTCTTTGGTGACCTATTTAAATTTGTGTACATTATTGTACATAGAATAAAATGTTTTCACGTTTTTATGACAAAATTTGAACAAATAGCTTTTTAATAGATAAAATAATCATACAGTGCGTCAACTGTGCCAAAAATTCCTCAATGAAATTATATAATGTATCTAACTCTGGACCCTAGTTTTTCTTTAAAACGGGTGGGAGAATGAAATTGCAAATCGGGAAATCACATTAAAGTCAAGGAAAGACAGTTTGGATCAGAGGAGAAAGGCTATAGAATGTTTTAGAACTAAGAGAAAAATGAGCTAGCTAGATGCACCTGAGAACTTTTTTGAACTTGGAGTAGCAATGTAGTTGAGCTGGGTTCAAAAGTCATGAGACAGAGGCTGTRAAAGTTGAGCAATAGGCTTATATCAACTAAGCTTTGATATAGACCAGAATGTACTATTTAATTTTTAGGTAAAATCAGTCATTCTGTTTGAAGTATTATAAAATTGTATTTTCATACTTGATTAGMTCACACCTATTTTCATTGTGTAATCTAATCATTTTAAACTAGAGCATTAAATATTAAAAATCTTGATCTGATTTTATAGATAAAATTGAAGATGATACCTATTTAGATGACATCCAGAGAATTTTCTTTATTAAAACTTAAAGTCAGTTTTATCATGAAATTGTAACATACATGATGGAAAATGGAAGATATACCAGTATCAGGAAAAAAATAATTTAATGGTGTTGTTATAGAGTGTATTGGCTAATTCAAGTGGATCTTCATCTCTTACTGCTGACATTATCTCCAGTATTTGACTAAAACAAAACAAAAAAAGGATGGTTAAATTTCCAAGCATGTATTCTGTTCTAAAGGTATATAATATTTTTTTTCACATAAAGGAAGACCTTGTACTGCCTTTAACAATAAGCTTAACAGTTGTTTTTAGCAATATCCATAGAAAAAAACTTTGTAGCAGCAATTAGAGACAAAGTGCTGAAGCTGACTTGGGTAGAAATAGAACCAAGAACAGCATCAAATAAGTTTAAAATTGGCCTTCTATACCGTGTGTACCACAATCATGGTGTTAACCCAGCAGAAAGGAAGCATCCTTTAAAACTGTAGGTCATAACACTTCAGTGAGTCATGATGAACATTTTAAAAATTAGGAGGATATGTATATTGCATGTGATGAGGGTAAGTACTTTTCTACTTTGGGTTCAGTTTTATTTACATTTATTTGTATATAATGATAATTGGGAGGACGGCACCCCAAATTTTCTTTATACAGACTTACTAACCCACTGTTTGAAGAACTAGTCCTTTAAAGATACCGAGAAATGGCTACATAACCACTAAGAATGACAGCAAAGGAAGAATAAAGTGTGGTTGAGGGTGAGGGCTTTATGTTCCTATACTTTCTGTCCTGTAAGACAGAGAATAGCCCATGGGTCAGTCTATCAACTTTCTTTACCTAAAATGATAATTGTCAGTGTTTCCTAACTATTACATATTGGTAAGATACATGAATTAGAAGGTTCTAGTGTAAATTAAACATTTAGATACTCTTTGTAATAAGTTTTCTGTTCCCTTTATGGGTATCTTAACTGTGAACACCCAAAGGAATTGGTAATACAAAGTGTATGGCAATCTTCAAACATCTTTTGCCATCTAGTCTATTTTTATGTGGTTTCAATGGCCTAAAGCTGAAGTTATTTTTTTTTAAATTTTTTGTAGTTATAGATGGACAGAATGCCTTTATTTTATTTATTTTTATGTGGTGCTGAGGATTGAACCCATTGCTTCACACATGCTAAGCAAATACTCTGCCACTGAGCTACAGCCCCAGCCCTGAAGAATTCTTAAAAAAATAATTAAAAATGTATATTATCCTTGAGAATTTAATGGTTTTGTTTATATAGCACACCAGGCATAGGTTTTCAGTTATGCAAGATCTGTACAATCCCTACTACCTGTCTCCTTTCCTGTCCTTCCCCACACTGATTACTAATGATACCTTAAAATCATGCCATTCTCCTGTTTGAAATCCTTTGGGTCCTGATAAAGTCAAATCTAAGGTTGTCATAAAGAGCTGGACAATCCAGCCTCATTCTGCTGCCTTCTACCTAATCCATGCATCCTACTTATTCCCACACTAGGCTCCTTGCTGTAGATCAGCCAAGTCTTTTCTGTGTCTGCCTTTGCTCAAGGTGTTTGTCTTTGACTGGCCTAACTCCCAGTTATGCTAAGTAAACAACTGAAATGTCACCTTAAAGCACTCCTAGTTCCTTTCAAGGCAGACAGTTGCTATGTCTCTGGTCCCAGTTAAATTCGATATGTGCCCATTAACATGATAAAACTAGCTTTCCTAGTTTGTTATAAGATTCACTGTAGCTTTTGACACGAGTATTTTCATGTGCTAAACTTATAATAAAATGACTCAAGTTACTACATTTTAGGAAATACACTATGAAGTTCTGCCCCCCTTGTTAAATTTTTTTGATTGGGAAAAGGAAATTCTTTCATTTATCATTTTGTTCTAAGGCTTAAAGAAATGTGTGATTTCCTAAGGTTGTCAAATCATTTAAAATGCAAGTATCATTTAAAAAAGGTCTGCTAAGACTAACTGATTACAAACAGCAGCAATGAAGTTACATAAGAATAAACAAGGTAAGGTGATATGAATAGTTTTTAAGGTCCTACAAAATGATAGGTGACCAATTAGATTTCTTCATTGCTAAATTAAAAGTCACTGAATTGAGAGAAAGTGAATATAGGAGCTAACAGCAATAGGTACAAATTCAGATTCCTCCAAMTCACTATTAAAATGACCTTTGACCTGAACTTTAACTTTGGGTCATGAAGATGTGTCACTGCAGATTCATTATTTCTAACATGTACCATTGTGGTGTATGTTTGTTAAAGACTGACCTGAACTTGACTTGGATTTTATGAAACTTTGAATTTTGTTCCTTGAGTTCATTTTGTAAGTGGCATTTGGTGGTTATTGTCAATAATTTTTAAAGACCATAACAGCAAAACACTTACGTTATATGACAGGGTTCATTTCTATCTTTTAAACAATACCCATTTTCCCATTTCTTTTTTGTAGGAAATGAAGTTTTTACATATTTTGATCCAGCATGTGTATTTTTGACTCCACACCAAGGTGCATCTAGAGTTAGGTAAAGAAGTGTCTGTTAAAGGGTTTACTTTTTAAAAATTGTTTTCTTATGAACATTATTAAACAAATACAAAACCTTTTAAGTAACAAGCCATGACTTAGCTTCAAAGTAGTGAAATTAATGCATCTGAAAACAGTTCTAAGAAAAGATAAAATCCCAAAATTGCATTTTAAACATTAAAACTCACTTTTATGTTATATTTAACAAAAGACCTTAACCTAACAAATATTGTAAAATTATACATGCTTTAACAAAAGATCTAAACCTAAAAGAAATACAATTCTAACATGAAAACATTTGAGATAAATTTCTATAGTGCCACTTCTGAATGTGAAACTGGCCGTGAACACTACTTTGATCATTATAATAGGTTACATATTTTACAAATATTGTACTTTTAATGAAATCTTCTCATTTCACGACATCCCAAGGAAATAAAAGTAATTTCTCCAGAGTGGCTCCATCTGAACTTTAAAGGCAAGGTATAAAAGCCTTGAGCCACAACATTTAGATAAATTTTAGCTTTTAACTCTTTTATTTTAAATAGATTCTAAAATCTTATACAAGTTTTCTCAGTTTACTTTAAAAATGTRGTAGAAGTAGACATTATAAATAAGACATTTGTTAATGTTTTTAAAAGAATTACTTAGGTAATTACTTGTATATTTAGTTGTAGATGGACACAATATCTTTATTTTACTCTAAAAACATATATATATTTTTTTCATGTGGTGCTAAGGATCAAACCCAGTGCCTCACACATGTAAGGCAAATGCTCAACCATTGAGCTACAACCCCAGTCCCAATTTTTTGATTTAATTTGAAGCTCTGGATGAAGTCCTGAGTTAGATTCCTTATTTAATTAAATATTCATATAATTACAACCTCTTTGGTTATCATGGATCCTGACACACACATACCCCCCACTTATTTGTGTTTTTGAAGTTTTCAGGCTTAGCCAAATTTCTAAAATTGAAAATAAAAACCACTTGCATAATTCTTCACCAATTAAAATAAAATCTTTGGGGAAGTATAACTGTTGAAGCTCAGCATGCTATTTTAGGATATTTAGCAGTGATGTTGAAGTAACATTTCCTTCTCTAGCTATTTTCTGGAGGGTAGTAAGTATGGTTTAATATGAAAATATCAACTTACCAGTTTCAATCATTAATTTTTCACTAGGTATTGACTTCAAGACTTCCAAATTAGCCTCAGTTTTCAGTGAGCTTAAAAAAAATAGTGTATATTTACTTTAAAGGTAGCATTTAGTGACTTTTTCATATTATAAACATTTAAATTTTTAAAAACCAAAACCCTRTAACAAATTTATTTTCAATGTACTTTTGAAATTTTTGTATATGTACACTCAGATTCTTCACAGAATCCAAATTTAAATCATTTCAACTAGATCTCCCTTTAGAAAGGATATTTTTTTCAGGTTTATCAATTGATTTTTCAATAGTTYTTCTGTATCAGTCTAAGTAAAAGCTTAACTTTTTAAAAAATTTATTTGCATAACTGAGAGGTATTCATAAGGCAGTTAACTTTCATTTTATTAACTTTCATTTTCAGCCCCTGAGACACTGGATTACTGCTCCTAATTCTTCAGCATCCTTTAACAGAATTAGGTATCTGTACTCTTGCCATGGTTTCTTATAAAAAGGACGAACTCCACTCTGAATCTGTCCATGGCTTCAAGACATGCTTYAGGCCAATGTGAGGAGATGACCATAGGCAATGTACCTTTTTGTCATCTGGATGGCATGATAAGTACACATGCACTGAGGAGTTGCTACCTCTTCAGCCTGGGTGCCCAGAAGGAAAACGCAACCTGTGGCAGCCAAATTCCAAATGATCCAAGACCAATGATTGTGGATCTGAGTGCAATTTGCCAGTGAGGTTTGGGATGGTTGACGATATAATTTGATGACGAATAATACTGTCCTTGTATTTTAAAATAATTATAAATATTAAATCATTTTTAGAACAGTTGTATGTTCATAGCCAAACTGAGCAGAAGGTAGACATTCTAGGTAACATCTCATGCCCCCGTGTAAACACAGCCAACCACACTCTAAAAATCCACAATACAGTGGTACATCTGTTAGAATTAATGAGCCCACATCAAAACAACATCATGGCCCATAAGCCCACAATTGACATTATGGTTCGCTCTTGGTGATATACATTCTGTGGGTTTGGACAAACAACATAGATACATCATAATTTCATCTGGAGTAGTTTCACTGTCTAAAAACCTTCTGTGCTCTGCCTATTCATCCCTCCCACACACCATTCTTAACCCTGGAAACCACTGATCTTTTTTACTACCTCTTGAAAGTCATCTCATCCAAAAGAACAAGGAAAATAAAACAGTAATCTTTGGTGAAATCAGTAAACATTTGTTCTTTTTTTATTCTTTTAGTGAACAGAAAGGAGGAGGTAGGGGAGGAGGGGACAAGAAATCAAAACTAGTAAATATTTGTTAACCTTGAACCACAACATAGAAAGCACATGGAGAAATGATAAATGACATGTTTAAATGCTTTTAAAAGTTATGTGTCTGCAGAGACACACATTAAAAAGAAGCAAACCACATTTCTTAAGAACCTGAGAATGAGATATAGAAAGCTAGGATAAAGCAGGGGATAGAAATAAGAGTTGTTTGAAAAGTCTGGGTAAAGAAATGATGGGGCTCCCAGATTACTTATCTATGGTTGAGGAAGGAGGAAACCTAAATTAGAGAGCGCATCAGAGAACAGTAAGCACAAATGAGTAGAGTGCAGGGGTGAGGTGGGCTGAAATGAAGACTGACTGCTGTGGGGAGACCTCTAATCCCGTCTTGCTCCAGGACAGTGTCAGGTACGGTTGTCAGTCCCTACCCCACTTTTCCAGCAGAGACCAGAGGATCCCTTTTTGGAGAAATGAACCAACCAGAAAAAGATCTCTATAAAATGGTATTTGGGAATCCCTAGTGGAAAAGTCAGTTCGCCATCTGAGCCTCCCAACTGATGGACTGTCTCCTACAGCACTTCCAAGCAGCTATTTTTTTTTTTTAATAGACAAAGAAGAAATGCCATTGAAGAAAGCCCCAATGATGAGAGAACAAAGGAAGAAATAAAAGCAATCAAAAAATTTTCAACTATAATTCATATCTTTAGAGATGAGAGATGAGAACTCACTGCATCTGTTAAGACTGGTATTTTAAAAAGCTTTCAAAGACTGAAAACAAAAAGAAATATTTAATTTTTAAAAGGTTGAAAATAAAGCACTTTTTATAAAAAAGCAGAAATACAGATGGAAATTGTAGAATAAAAAGAACATCAGATTTATCAATCTGGGATACTAAAAAAAAATATGAAGAAAATTCTCCAGGACTGATATAARCCTCCAGCTGGAAGGGGCCAGTAAGACAGCAGCATAAAGAGGGACCAGAAAACAAAATAAGAACATCAAAACACATCTTTGTGAAATTCTATAATACCAGGCATAACTAAAATCTTCCAAAGGAAAAACAAGGTCCCAAGAAGACACAGGGAATCAATATATCAACTAACTGTTCACTATCAACTAGAACCTACTGATCAAACAATGTAAGTTCTCAGTGAAAATGATTTCTCATGTAGAATTTCATGCCCAGGAAAACTACCAACCAAAAGTTGGTAGTTTCATTTGCTATGCAGGAAAACTTTTAAGAATACAGTAAGTTCATTTAAAAACATGCAAAAATCTCAAACACTTTACTTCTCATGAAAACTTTCTTAGGAAACAGAGGATTTAGACCACCAAAACAAGTAATATTTGGGGCCTCAAAATAGGAGTGCTATCAGACAAGACACTAGTCTAAATTGAAACAAAAAGAGCCAGGGTATGGAACTAATGGAGCTATCAGATTATCTAGATAGATTTCCTCATGGAGAAACAACAGATAAAAACATTTTGTAGAACTGTGGCAAGTATTAGAGGGCTTCAAATTTTGAAGAAAACCAAGAAAAGTTACTTCAGAAAAATAAAAGTGGTATACCAAATGGATCAGCAGTCAAAATGTATATAAAGACATAATGAAAACATTGAATATGCATAAACTCAAAAATTCTGAAATAACTACAATGGAAGGAATAATGGAGGTGGAGTTAGTGCGGGATATAAGAATTCCAGTGCTTATAATGAGAATAGGCAAAGGGGATGAATCAGAAGAGTAGATGCACATAATCTGGAAATACTGACATACAGCGAAGTGGTTGCTCTGGAAGAGCTGACTTAGAGGCTGGGGCATGCTGGGTGGGGTTTGTGATAGTTGCTTATAAGTCTTTAGTCCTACTTGACTWTTTAATCACTATGCATGTATTCCTTTAAATATTAATTTATAAATTAAACCAAACCATGAATTTAAATATAAGACTGGGCACAGTGGCACATGCCTGTAATCCCAGTGGCTCAGGAGGCTGAAGCAGGAGGACAGAGTTCAAAGCTAGCCTCAGCTAAAGCAAGGTGCTAAGCAACTCAGTGAGATCCTGTCTYGGAATAAAATACAAAATAGAGCTGGGGATGTGGCTCAGTGGCCGAGTGCCCCTGAGTTCAATCCCCGTTACCTGACCCCACACACACCCCAAAATGTGAAAGAGGCATCTAGAACATTTATATACTGAACTCTACAGCAAATAATTCCATTATTCTATTCCCAAAGATTTTAAATTATTTAATCAGAAAAGCGACATTGGAAAGAAACACTGAAGAGGGAAAGCGAGTCTTGTACTATACTATGATTTATTTTAATAAGCTACACTGACATCCTGTGAAAAGATCCTGGCGGAAGCTCTTATACATCTGACACAAAACCAGCCCAAGCTATGCCAGTGACTGCACTGGTGTTTGAGGTTTAGTGTGGGGTTACAGCAGAAAGGTCACAGAGCCAGAAGCCAGAGGGCACAGGTTCTTACACTTGGGAGTAACTTTATACCTGTTTCTTAACTTATTTAAGCCTGGTTTCTTAGCCTACAGAGATATATAAATGATTGTCAAAGAATAACCTTTCTCCCATGATCAGACATGACATATATATGTCTATACAATGCTATAAACCATACATTTTAAATAGATAAAATGACTTGGGAATAAATTGGATTGTTAGAAAAAGCTAGCTGCTGATTTTGGCAGACTGTTTCTATTATTAGAACAGAGTAGAAGTCTAAGACTTTCAGGCTTTCACTTGTAATGGTAAATAGTACTGTTCCATTTCTTACATAAATACTAAAATTCTTGGGCCAGGATCAATGAAAAACACACATACTTTAATAAAAAATATCAGCAATTCATTGTAAAACAATTTAAGAAACATGCTTAACATAAAAGTTAAAACAAACAAACAAAAAACCTTAAGAACGTACCAACCATTAAACCCTATATAAAGATCCAAGTCAATCAGAGCAGCTGCTGCTTCCTTGGTACCATCAAATGAATGCACCTAGGGACATACAGGCATAATTTTATTATAATTAATCTTTAAAATTCTACATAACACTAAGACTTCCTAAGCAAAAATAATAGATGCATGTAAGGGTTTAGGGATCATAGGGTTTCAGATGTGGTAGCCCCTACAATTTTAATTTTCACTAAGGTTTCACAATTACAACCTATTGTCATCTCCAGTGATATGGCAAGGGATTAGCTGGCTAGGATTTCTCTCTAGAGTGCTGTGTTGGTGTCTGCACCAGTATCACCATAGAAGGGCAGTCATGTTTTCAAGCTTGGAAATGTCATACCACTATTGAAAACACTGAATTTTTCTGTTTTGAGTATATTTTTTCTAGAATAGAAAAAAATTTAAGAGGCAAGTTTTAAGAAGCTCTATAAAGAGGTAAGCTTTAAAAATGTAAATTGTTACACAGTCAATAATATTGACTTAGCAGGCAAAAAGGAATGAGATGGTATTTTTCACCTTTAAAGACATAGGGGTTCACATGTAGTTTTTCATTCTTCAGGTATATTTATGTAATCAATAATAACAAATAACAACAGCACTTCCTTTGCAAACAAGATGATGTCACATAACTGCTGAGTCCAGAGAATCTGAAACATACTATGGCTAACATCTCCCAATAATTAAGAAATTTGTTACACAGCTCTCCATAAAGGGATTATTCTTTCCCTCACATTTTTAGTCGACTAGAAAACACAACCTCAATTAATGGCAAAATAATTTTAAATGTGACTCTTCATAAACCATTTTAGAAAATTAGTTAATTCTTTGGTAATTTCTTTTTTACTAAAAATCAAACATTYACATTGGATTTGTTGTTGGTGGTGTTAATTTTTTAAAACTAYTATAGAATCATCCAAGTAAAAGCTTACTTAGAAATAAAGCAAATGGGAGAGAGGTGGAGTCTGCAGGCCATAATAAGTACCACTGGCTATGCAAAGGGCATTAAAACCTCTCAATTCCCAGGTACAGTTCCAAAAGGATAAGTTAGAGAGTCAATAAATTACAGAGAAAATGTACACAGTAACATTAACTCCAAAGCGATATAGAATACATACATATAACAAATGGTACAAAAAATGAGGCAAAGGCTAAACACTGAGAAAATGCACATGAAACTCAAAGATAGGCACCCATACATAATGGGTGCTCAGGGCTATTTCCTCTCCCCTTGGTTGGCACAGTAAACTGATTTTATTATACCTGGAATAATGTTTTTTTGTTTTGTTTTGTTTTGTTTTTTTTGCTAGAGAGTCACTGAGACTCTCCTGAAATTGTATTTGAAAATCTATATATCTGAACATTTTTCTAAAGTGAATTCTCAAAAAGAGTCCATGATTTGAAAAGACTAAAAATCACTGTCATTGATTCCTGAACTAGGTGATAGTCAGATGTTATTTATGGGAAATGTCTGAAAATCAGTGACTGAAATGTCCATATGGGAGCACTATTTCAAGTGAAATATAAATTATAGAAAGGAAAATGAGTCTCTAGATCAGAGTCATAATAGTAAATAAATACAATTAATCAGAAATTAAGAAAACAAATCTGAAACTAATAGTAAATATTTTAAGATATTATACAAATATATAAGTTTCTCAAAATTTAAACTGAAGAACATTCATGAATGGCTAATGGAAGAGACAGAAAAAGAATATCATGCGTAGCATCAGAATGTGTAGAAGTAAATTCATGGGGTTTTCCTGTGAATAGAATTTTATACTCATTCTTGTACATTGAACAAAGAAAGTATAATTGAAACAGTGTGGTTTCTGTGTTTCCTACATCTGACCCATAAATCCACTAGTAAACTTACATGTCTTTCAAATAATGGGTGTAGAACTGACATCTGAATTACTTTACAAGCCACACTTATTAACCAAGATGTTTTTGTGTATCATAAATTAAAGACAACCATTCTATACTTACCACCCCACCTACACACCGATCTCTATTTCTTTTCATTATGTCTGTGAATTAAAAATAGAAAGAACTTATAGGAATTAGCTTGATTTTTTAACAATTCTTAAATTCTAAATGAGTTTATTTTTAACTCACCTAAAAACTCAGTATGTGARTTTCGACAATGAAGAAACATTGGTAATTTTGTTTTTTCTGACAGTTCAAATTGTTTTTCAAAGTATCTGCATAACACAAAATATTTTCCTATTAAAATTTTTATTTTAGCAAGAGAAGGACTATTATCAAATGATTTTTTTAAATAAGGAATTTTATTCTCTAGAAATGATAGCTCTAAAATAGTGAATTCAGACATTAAAACATATCAGGTTTAGCAGAGGGCTTCTTATAACACATTTTCTGGAAAGGGAAACTACAGTTTCTGGGATTAAAAATTTATTTTCAGAACTGTTTGTTAGGTTTTCCATCATAACTGCTTAGTAAGCAGGTAGCATTTTACTAATGATTGTTAGAAGAGATGTATGGTTTATAATTAGCATGATGGCAGTTGTTCCCCTGAAGAACTACTTTTAAACTAGTGTCTCAACCAAATCCCAGCAGATGAAACAAACATCCCATAATCCATGAGATCCAGACCCAGAGCAGGTATTAGTGGTAGAGAAGAACAGGAGGCTGCAAGCCCCCTACCAGTGGGGCCGGCTGATCACCAGACTACTTTGTGCTAACCACTCTAGGCTACCCAACCCTACAGATCCATGAACTAAGTCACATGACTAAGGCACAAATTTACAGAATCTAATGGTTGGTTTAGAAATTAGCTTTCTATCATGAGGTAGGCAAAAGGATGATTTATGAAAACAAAAAAGCTCATGACTATAATTTTACGTAGTTGGAGAAAAGAAAGGTCCCTGAGTTTAAGCCATCTAGTATCATTAGAGGGCATGTGGTAAAAAAATAAATACTAATGATAAAATCAAGGATAATTTGTATGCAATATCAAATGATAATTGTCTTTAAAGGAAGAAAATTACCATGCTAACTTGAAACAATGACATAAGTTATGGGGCAGGAATTAGCATCTCTGCCTGATTTACTTATGATTTCAGTTCATAAATGAAAAACATTCTTTATTTAAGTTTGGTCCTTTGAGTGAAGCTGTGATTAGATTTCAGATTGGATCACTGTTTCTTACAGTTCAGGATCAATACTATCTAAAGACAAGGGCTTGAAAGGTCAGCTTAGCAGTGGAGGCTGTTATTTACCAGAACTGAAGCCATTGAAAAGCCCAGCAAGTGACACGGGTACACCTTAACACAAGCTGGAAATCCCTCTCTAAGCTGGCCAATGGTCTCAATCTCTCATCTCTAGGGTCCCCTAAATACCCAAAGGATCATTTTGAAATCTTGTCTGATATCTGGTTTTGGGACGGTGGGTACTAGGGATTGAATCCAGGGGCTCTCTACCACTAAGCCCTTTCTATTTTGAGCCAGGGTCTCAATGAATTATTGAGGCCGGCCTTTAACTTGCCATCAGCCTGACTTTTGTCTCTGGAGTCACTGGGGTTACAGTCATGTCCATCTCATCTCATTATTTTTTTTTTTTAAAGATCTTCACAGTGTTAACATTTTAAAGCCTCAAGAAAACTGTCCAGAGCAAATTGTTCCTACTCAAGAGAAACGAGCTCTAACAAGGAACAAGGAAAGAGTGTAGCACAGGTTACAGAAACGGTTAAGTACAGGGGATGACTCAAAGATACCCTAAGCAAAAAGTATAACTAATGTTTTCATTTAGAATGGCAATATTTCTAATAATATAACAAAAGCCACAATTTATTAAGTCCTTACTCTGTGCCAGGCATGCCACTATTAGCTTTTACATGTCATATGTTTAAAAAGATAAGCAGCATTATTCTCATTTTGAGGATGAGGAAAATTAAGATGTACAAAGGGATATATAACCACCAACAGCAACTTTAAAACATACCCAAGACTTGCTGATTCAAATAATCATACTTTTAGCACTATGTTATTGATACTGTTATTTTTCAGATGCTTTAACTATTGTACCTTAATTTGTCTTGTCTTCTATTCAATACGTTAATTTACTTTCTATTTTTCTCTTCTTTTTTTCCTGACATTTTTATTTAAAAACAAAAAGAAAGCAAAAAAAAATCAGATGTTGTTTCAGATGGTATGAAAACACAAAGCAAAACCTAAATTCTTCTAAGAATAAACTCAATGGCAAAAGCTGAATTACAAGACTTTGTCCCATGTTCCCCTATAGGAATCAGAAAGAGCCTTCCTCCTCAAACTTTCACCTACCAGTTACCAAGCACCTGCTATGCCAAGAGCGCTATGCTAAGTGCAAGGGAACTACAACAGGAGCAAGATTTAAAGTGCCACTGAAGCCACTCAGGACACAAGTCTGTCTAGCACAGAACAAACATTACCAATGCACTGTGCTAAGTGCTGGAACAAGCAGAGTGCTGTGTGAGCACAGGCTGCAGACAGGGCGGGGCATGGGGTTTTGTTTCCTTAACAATCCAAACATGATTATTACTGCTGTATCTTTCATCCACTAAGTCATTTAGTGTTTTATAATCAATTTTTTTTTCCAAAAATCTCAAGTTAAACTGCCAATCTTACCAAATTTCCACCTATTTTAGTTTGTCCTTAGTTTATTCTCTCCAAAAAAGGCCTAGACTACATGCTATCTACTTTACTGAAGACTTTCCTGACTCTCCTAGAAAAGTTAATCCTCTCTGCTGTGTACATCGCTTTCTGATAGCACTAGCCAGCCATTTATAATTACTTATGTCCTCTCTTGTSTATGAAAACATGAGGACCAAGTCTTATTTCTATCATACTGGGGAGGCTCTCAGTAATCATTTACTGAATTATCAGAGGTCTAACTTTCTACACTAGATTAACACCTGAACAACTGGCACAGGAGTTAAAGCATAAACTATATCGTGCTATACACATTGTTTTAGTTCTAATCTTGCTCTGATGATTTAAGTCTCTTCAGAACACTAAAATAGAATTGATATTATCACTGTTTTCATTTAACCCCCAAGTTGAGTTTCAAGTATTTAAGTTGCATTTTAGAAATAGCTTTAACTCATCTATAAATAAAATATGTACCAGCAAGAAATCTTGGGGGAACTATGCAACTGCCCTTGCTTGTTGTGATACAGTCTGTGATTCATAAATCTCAATCTGGCCCAAAACTAATGTGGAGGAATWACCTAAGAAACTATCCATCTGTGAACTTTTAAGGTGAAGTGAGTTGACTACATGATATTCAGAAGAGGCTCAGAGCTCTAGTAACACTGCTGGTGGCCTTGTGTGTGTCCCTGGAAACACAGTAAATGGTATACCAAAATTGCACAACTCTGAAAGGGTTATATATAAAAAAGAGGCCTGAAAGAAGTATGTGGCCATAGGACTTCATTCTAACTCAACCTACTCCACTTGGCTATAGATGTCAGACTTCAGAAATTCGGGAGATTTGAATCTTAAGTTATGACTGACTCCACTAATAAACCTGCTCCTTACTGCAGTGGTTTTCAACTACAATGAACAGATCAAGATTCCACTTTAAAGCAAAGCAACAGGCAGGGGACTCAACATATTTTTGGCATGTATAAAATGAAAAACTGCTTCAGGCCATAAAGTTATTGGCTTAATTAAAATCACATGACAACAAGTATTCATTATTAAATATTATGATAGGCAGGAGGACTGAAAGTTCAAAGTCAGCTTCAGCAATTTAGCAAGACCCTCAGCAATTTATTTATTTATAAAGATAAATAAATAAAAAGGGCTAGGGATGTGGCTCAGTGGTTAAATGCCCCTGGGTTTAATCCCTGGTACCAAAACCAAACAACAACAAAAAAAGTGGATGTTATCTTAAGAAAGAATCTGAGCCAAATTCTCCTTTATATATCAGAAACTAAGGTATGGAGCTGGGGGCAAAGCTCAGTGGTAGAGCACTTGCCTAGCCTGTGTGAGGCCTTGAGTTTGATTCCCCAACACTGCAAAAAGAAAAAAAAAAATTAAGGTGGACAGAGGTTGTTTATTCTTAAAGGTTGTTAGTAACAGCTAGTATAATTTTATTCATATTTTTGTATTCTTTGAGTTCCCAGCAGTTGCTGGCATGTATTCCATAACTCCATAAATACTTGTTATATGAATGAATAATTAAGTTAACCTCCTTTAGAAGTTMATTCTAATGTTTTAGTATCTCGATAATTAAGATGTTTTTGAAGTGCTCATGTTTTAAATTAAGACTTGACCTAATTCTTATTTTCAACCTATGTAACTGACCCAACATACGATAGGAGCTCCAATTAAAAGCTGCAAATTCGCATTACAGGAAGTCCTTGAGGCCTGAGAGCTGTGGAGTTTTCTTAGGAGCTATAGTTCTCAACATGGCTCCTATGAAAGGGTTCTCACTGTTCCCAGCTAACAATATCCAAAGCCCAGCAAGAGTAATATATGCTCTTCTTGCTTTGGTGATTGATCTTTTAATCCCTTTTTAATATCCTTTGCCCTTAAATCATGTCCCCCACAACTGAATTTCATTCTCTCCATTGGAATGGTTCATGCATGATCCATCTGTTAAACAATGAAAAACAACAAAAAAAAGTCTTGTAAATTCATCCCTTATTTCTAACAAATAAAATTGGTTAATCAATTATATCCCTTATGAATTATATGCATGGAATTTGTTTTATTTATCTTTTGATATACACAGGGAAAAACAAAAACATTCTGAGGCCTAATCTAACTATGTGCTCAATTCATAAGTTATTTTAAAAACATCTCTACTAGGATTTTACAATTATTACTAATATCATTAAAGTTCCTTACTTGAGCTGGGTATCTCTGGGACAAAATTGTAGTCGATCAAAGTCTTTAAAAGATAAAAAAGAATAATTACTTAGGACTTTACAGAACAAATCTGCTATTTTCAAAGTCATCTAAGTGGCTGGCTTGCACTTACCAAGTCCACATTCCCCTACTGCTACAACCTTCCCCTTATTGTTTTCAGCAAGATTTAGCAAATCCATTAAGTAAATGTCAGGATTATCCTTTTCAAATTCTCCACATCTTGTAGGGTGACATCCAACTGTGCTGAAAAACATATCTAACACAAAGTAATGTCTTAGGATTATTTTCAAAATCGTTTCACATTCATATTTAATATTTAAATATAAGAGAACAAAAAGTTTCAACTTTTTTTTAGTCATATACTGTTTTAACTACCAGAATTGCATTATGTTAATCATGTAAGAATTTGCGGAAAACCTTAACAAAGTGGGACATGAATATGAAAATTGTTTTTCTGTGTTAATAAAATAATTAATTCAACTCTTTCCAAAGCTTGGTATTTATTGAGCATTACATAATGAAAAGTGAAATAATTTCTTGAAATGTTATCATCTAAAACAAAAAGAAATGCTGTCATCTAATTTTATTTATCTTTTATATTCAGTGTTCACATGACTATCATAATTCCTTTATTTAATATAACAGTTAAAATATATTCTCCTTAAAAAGGTTAATTGCAGAGGTGACTCAAAAAGGTAAAATGGAGAATTTGTTATTCTAATAAAAAACACCTGGTTCTGGTGGTGTATACCTGTAATCCCAGTAATTGGGGAGGCTAAGACAGGAGGATCGCAAGTTCAAGGCCAGCCTCAAAAATTTAGTGAGGGCCTAAGCAATTTAGTGAGACACTGTCTCAAAATAAAACCCAAAAGAGCTGGGGATGTGGCTCAGTGGTTAAGCACCCTGAGTTCAATCCATGATACCAAAAATTAAAAATTAAAAAAAAAAAGAAAACAACAAAACTTAACTATTGGYTTTGACAGCTTTAATCCTATGGAACACAAATGAGAAGTCAAAGATGGGTTTGAGGGTTTTAACAGGTACCTCATCTGAACCTGCAGAGAGGGTGGAGCCTCCTTCAGGTTCTCATGCAGATGTTTACAGATAAAAGGAAGCATCAGATTCCAAATGTGTGAGGACACAAAGTRCTTTGAAAGGACTGGGAGGGGTTAATAGGGAATAACTGGGGAGAACTTCTGAAAGCATATCTGTTTGAGAACAAAAGAATGAAAGAAAATATTCTTATGTACCCACAGAATTCCTGGGAAGATGATTATTTTTATGTCCTTAATTACTAAATAAATGTCAGTGTATCCTGAAAAAAGGTGTGCATTTTAGAAAGACTGGGKTTTTTTTCAAATATTTTTTATTTATATATGGACACAATATCTTTGGTTTTATTTATTTATTTTTATGTGGTTCTGAGGCCTGAATCCAGTGCCGCACACATGCAAGGCAAGTGCTCTGCCACTGAGCTAAAACCCCAGCCCCGAAAGATTGTTTTTTTAAAAAATGCTTTTAATAACATTTATGCATAAAGGAAACACTTGTATTTTAAGAAATTATGTAGACTATCTAATTTCTGGGTATCTAGCAAATTAGACATGCAAAATCAAAGTAAATAAATGAATCCCAGAGAAATGAGGTGTTTTATGTAACTAGGAGTCCCTTAAAAAATCAATTCCAAAACTTTTAAGATTTTTTAAAAGTATAAAATGTTTGGACATAAAGTGATAATATGAATAATTATATATATTATATTGTTATTTGCACTCCTGGGGTCTTACACAGTGTCTAGTTCACAAAATAAATACTTATTAAACAAATCCTTCAGAGATCCAGATTTTTTAAAAAAGCAACTAAAATTTTAAATATTAGAACTATCTTTATTAATTGTTATGAGAGGGTTTATCAAACATCTGATTTACCAATGAATACTCTGAATTTGTCATGTTTATCATGTCCCATTGAAATCAACCCCTTTTCCGACTATTTCTAAGGTCATGATCATTGTGCTATTCCTGAAGAACTTCTCAGAAAGACTTCTTCAAAATTACTTAATTTGTATATTTTTACTGGTAAAAGAACATTAGAATACCATTTGTTTGTGCCAGATTCAGTGCAGCTTTACTGTCTTGCAGATCTCCACCGGTAATCATAAACTGAAATAGAAAGACGAGAAATAAGCTGACTTTATCAGGGCATCAACAGTTTTCCCAAACACTCCTTCCTACTACTTCTTCGCAGCAAAATGCCTTTTCCTTTTACCATCGTGTACCCACATTCCTTTAAAATTCAGCTGGGGGGCTGGGGATGTGGCTCAAGCRGTAGCGCGCTCRCCTAGCATGCGTGCAGCCCGGGTTCTATCCTCAGCACCATACCAACAAAGATGTTGTGTCCACCAAATACTAAAAAATAAATATTAAAATTCTCTCTCTCTCACTCTCTCCCTCTCTCTCACTCTTTCTTTAAAAAAAAAAAAAATTCAGCTGGGAAGATCATCCCTGTGTAGAATGACACCTGACTGTTCTACACACACAGTCCACAGGAAAATTTGTCACTCCTCCCTAATACAGTGCACTCAGATGTCAGTCTCTGATAGACCTTGAGTTCCTTGAGGTCACAGATCATATATTATAAAAGACTGAATAACTAAAGACCTGTGAATTTAGAATCCTGTTAACATAAATCAGTGATCAGCTATATCAGTAACTCAGTAATGTCGATTAATTCAAAACAGTTCTCTAAGTGTAGTCCAGGAACTCCTAGGAGGTATGTGAGGTTGAAACTATTTTCACAATTATACTAAAATTCTATTTGTCTTTTTTCACTCTCATTATGTGACAGTGTACAGTGAGGTTTTCCAGAGGCTGCATGATGTGCAACAGACTGACTACAGAAACAGATGTGATAATTCAGCATACTTCTATTCACTCAGCCATTAAAAGATTTGAAAGAATGTAAACAACCCACATAAACAAAAGCTTTTGGGGGGGCTTAGTAAAATTTAAGAATGTGAAATGGTTCTGAGACTGAGAAGTTTGAGAATTGTTGAATTACTGTAATGTACCATAACAAAATCTCTGTAGGGAATTTATGGCTCTTGGAAGTTAAACATATTTCTAGAAAGACAGCTATCAGAACTCATCCAATGGTTAATGCCATCTTTGCTAATCTGTTAAAATGAAAATGTCACTGAAGAGCCATGTTTTGATGACTACTGAGCAGTGCTGTTTAAGGTCCACACTCTTCTGAAGAAGAGATTTGAGCTCACTCCTGGATATTTTGTAAAGCATACTTCAAGGGTATCACTAAGCTAAAGTGGAGAATTCAAGCTAGTTATGGTGGCACATGACTGTATTCCCACAGACTCGGGAGGCTGGGATAGCAGGATCACAAGTTTGAAGCCAGCTGCAGTAACTTAAAAGACCCTCAGTAACTGTAAGATCCACCTCAAGACAAAAATTTAAAGACTGGGATGTAGCACCTCTCATTTCAATCCCCAGTACCAAACATTTTAAAAATTAAAAAATAAATAAAATGCAGAATCCATTTAGGTACAAATGAATTCTAAAGAGAATACATACAAATACAAAGACAGTGGTGAATGATAAATAGGTATTTTCATATAGCAACTCAAACCTCTAATATGATGACATTGAACATCTATCTATTCAGGGAATGTGTAGTCACAATTAAATCCCCAACTGCCTATAGAACATAGGATATAAAATATTTTTAGAAATATTGGGAAAACTTGCTTGCTTATTAACATTACCTAATTCTTTAAAACCAGACCAGTTGCCCCATATAATATTTTAATTTCGTAAAAGTTTTTAATCAAGTCTACTTTTTACATTACCTGTAACTTTTCCATGTAGTGGAAATAAAATAAGGGCAAGAGTAGAGGACATAACTCCCTCTCCCAGAGTACAAGGACAATGCTTATCTGACAATGGTGGCATCCACTGCATGAGTAAAGAAGTTTGTTTACTTTATGCCAGGTATAACACCAAGCATTTCTCCATTGAATATTTTATTTAACCTTCCCAATTCTATTAGTTAAGTACTATCATCATCCCCCACCCCTTTTCAGGGTACCGGGGATTGAACTCAGGGGCACTCAAACACTGAGCTACATACATCCCCAGCCCTGTTTTGTATTTTATTTAGAAACAGGTCTCACTGAATTGCTTAACACCTTGCTTTTTGTTGAGGCTGGCTTTCAACTTGCAATCCTCCTGCCTCAGCCTCCCCAGCCACTGGGATTACAAGTGTGCACCACTGTGTGTGGCTTATCAATTCCTTTTTATGGATGAGAAAACTGAAATCTAGAGAGAGAAAATATTCCAAATTACAAAGTATGAATGAAGCTGGAGCTAGAACCCAGGTTTGWGATGTTGTAACTGTGTTTTTAGCCACTATATTATTTCTGTAAGATACTGATGAAATTCCAACTTGGAACAAATTCGCTTCAGTTCTATTATTCCTGTTCAGTAGTTTATATAGGTTTGTATGTGAGTAATTAGAAGTGAGAAGAATAAGCTGGGCACAATGGTACACACCTATAATCCCAGCAACTCAGGAAGGTGAGGCAGCTTTACTGGTGAGCTACACACCCATCCACCTTAAAATTTTTTATTCATTTATGCAGCAATACTGGAGATTGAGCCCAGGTGCTTTATCAAGCACAGACAGAAGTGTGAAGAATAAATTATTCATGGCTGACACATGAAAGTTTAGGTACTTGGTATTATCCCCAGTCCTCTTCGTTTTGAAACAGGGTTTCGTGAAATTGCTAAGGCTTGAATATTCTATCCTCTGGCCACAGTCTCCCTAGTCACTGGACCTACGGGTGTGGGTGTGTGCCACCACACCCAGCTGGTCATGTGCCACCACACCCATGTCTTTTTGATGATCACTTAATTCTAACAAATACTAGTATATTAGAAAACTTACTAAAAGTTGCCTTTTAAGAAGCCTAGTACTTCATATAGATTTACCACTTATTGCRTTACTGATCACATGGAAGAACTATACATGAGGTTTATGTAACTTAAAATGCTGTGACAGAATACTATATTTAATTTCTACTAACTTGAGAATATTGCATGTAGACAATATATATTCTAAGTGTGTAGTATTGGCTTCTTCCCTTTTATTCTGTGAAATTTTAACTACAATTTATTTTAAACATAAAAAAACCCAAGAATAATAAAAAACAGATGTTACCTTTTTAACACCAGTCTGGATAGCTCTCTCTATTACATCCTGTAAGTCATCTGTACAAAACAAACCATTCATAAAGAAAACCTAATAAATAAAAATTCACTTATCTATAATTTGGTCATCTCGAAATAAAAATATATAGAAGTAATCATATGTACTACATCAAAATCAAATCAATACTGTTTGAAGAATAGTTGTCACATAATACTAGAAATAGCAAAAAGCTTAACAAAAAAAGAAAAAGAAACCAATATAAAGCAAACTAGATGAATAATAAACTATTAATCGAATTGCATTTTTATTCAGAGAGAAAAATTAGGAGACTCAAAAGATGAATTTGGTAACTACAACTTAAAAGTCACTTGTCTTGGATTTGAAACTTGGCAATGTATTTTTTAAAAAGTAATTTATTTGGGGTAGGAGTGTGGCTCAGTGGTAGAGCACTTGCCTACCTAGCATGGGTGCCTTGTTTTGATTCCAAGTACCACAAAAAAAAAAAAAAAGGAAACAACTATTAAGATTGTTTATTTTTGCTAGGGTTTTCCTGCTTGCACTGCCTCCCAAAATATGACATAACATTTTTTTATAAATCTCAGTTAATTCTATATTTCTATAATTACCATTGCCATTAAGGAAAGATAATCTGTTTTCTGTTTTTCTGGACAGTTGTTTCTTTGCCTTTTCCTATCATTCATTGTTAAATATTGTAAACAATATATTTTTCTGGGGAGAGTAAGCTCTGAGAGGCCGAAATAATTGAAGAACAAAATAAAATAATCATATATAAAATCCCTTTTTTATTCACATTACTCATCAGAGTAAATGTGATTGGAATTCAGTTGATATTACTTCTGAAGTACCTATAAAATTTCTTTTAGACAAAAATACCAACTTATGAAGCTTCTGCTAAGTACGTCAACTGGTTTTGCCRGCTATTATAAGCTGCAGTAATGCTAATATTGACCACAAAAAAATTTATTTCATAAACACACATATAAACATACATACACATATAATCACAAAGCATGAAATTCAGTAAGTGCTAAAAAGGCAAGAAGAGTAGAATATATGTTAGTCTATAGTCCAACTGTACTGTGATAGTAGGAGCAAATGTGACTCCATTTTGTTTTATGACTTCATCCTGTAAAACAACTATGCCAAGTAGAAAAGTCATGACTGGGGCAAGATATTCTTTTCCTTTTGCTATAGAAACCTTTAAGAACATGGAACTACTTAATGGGGTATTGTTTCTGTAACTAGGGTGACTGGGCTAACTGTGATTGGTTAGGCTTCCCTCCGCTTGACTGCACTGTCCCGCTTCTGTAACCTGGCTTGCTTGCATTGTCTAGACCCCCTGAACATCCCTTTTGCAGTTTTCAGGCTTATAAGGAGTGCCCTTGCAATTGTTTGGGGCTGATCAGGGGAACAGCTTTATGTTCTGGTCAGTCACCACTGGTGTGCTTCAATAAAGGCTTGATTCGATTATACGTGAGTGGTCTGGAAGTCAGTTTATGAAACCCTGGTATGAAGCTTTAAGTATAATAGTACTATGTAAGTAACACATAAAGATGTCATCCAAAATTCTAAGTAAAGTAGAAAAGGTAATTTTTGAGATTAGGCTTAAGAAAGCTAAGTTACTTTTCTTCTTTCAAGTGACATCTAACATCTACTACTACCTGGTAGCACAGGAAGAATAGTTTCTGACTTGGCTTACTGAAATGTGTAATTCTACTTCATCCACAACCACAAAACCAACATTTCCTGTTTGCATTTACATAATAAGTAGAGTTATTTTTCTAAGGCAATATTCAAGACTTAGCTTATTGTAGAAATTCTGCCTTTAAAAATCTGTTGCTGCCATCATTCCTTGCCTAGTCTTACAAATGAACTTTAAAGATAAATATAAGCCATTTTGCCTTTGGCTAGGCCCTCCCTCAATCTTTAAAGGTAGTAGTACCTGGTCTTCTAATACAGTAGGTATTTAAGTAGAAATGTGGATGAAAGGGGGAAAAGCAAAATAGGAAACCAGATAGCATTATATCTCCTTCTCAATCACGCTCCTACTTGTCACTCACTGAAAATGTTTTTGAAAAACTAGATACACTGATGGTCTATAGTAACTGATTTTTGGATTCTGTGTCCTAATGTTCATTTGCTTAATGGCTTACTATCTACTGGGCTTGCACACCTGGAATTCCAGAGACTCAGGAGGCTGAGGCAGGAGGATTGTGAATTTAAGGTCAGCCTCAGGAACTTAGTGAGGCACAATCTCAAAATTGAAAAAAAAAAAAAAAAAAAAGGCTAGGTGGTAAAGTGCCTCTGAGTTCAATCCCCAGAACCACTCTCTCCCACAAAAAGACTAAATACCAACTATTTGTTTTTTGTGCATGAGATTACTTGAAGTACTATACTCAAAACTAAACTTCTATAGATAAGAAGGGCTAGACTAACACAGTTTTAATGGGTACCTTATAAGTAAGTGTTCAGGATCATGTTTTACCAATATAGCTTGTGTGTGATTCATTGATAGTTTTACCCAAGTTGCATATGACTTCTTTGGGGTTTTTTTTAACCATCAAATTCTATATGTTACTTTTTTTTAAATTGGTTCTTTTTAGCTATACATGACAATAAAATCCATTCTGATATTATTATTCAATCACAATAACCTCTTTAATATTTTTATTTTAATTTAACTTGGTTATGCTTTTCAAGATCAGCTTAAGGCAGAAAATTTGTCTTTACAGAAGAACTATTTATCTTAATAAAAAAAACTTACCTTGATGCTTCTGAACCCCCCTATAAATTCCTCGGAACATAGGATCTGTCAAGTTGACACCAATATCTGCAGAGAGCCAAAAAAGATAATCCATTAATCAATAAAAGTCTTTATTTGAATCTTTAAAAAATAAAACTCCTATTATTGAATTTGTACTCACAAACTCATTCATTCAAACAGTATCCAGCTGCTAGCCACTTGTTAGTACTCTGCTAGATCCATGGGATACAAAGATGAATAAAATGTATCCCTGTTCTTAAAAAACTCACTGCAGAATTGGTAAGGCGGATACATTAATAGGCAATTTTGAAATATTAGAAGTGAACACTGAAGCCATCCATGGTGGCACATGCCTACAATCCCAGCTACTTAGGAGGATGAAGCAAGAGGATTACAAATTCAAGGCCAGCCTCAACAATTTAGTGAGACCCAGTCTCAAAAGAAAAAGGATTGAGGATATAGCTCTGTGGGAGAGCACTTGCACAGCCTGTGTGAGGCCCTTGATTCAATTCCCAGTACACACACACAAAAATTTTTTTTAAGAAATAACACTGGTGCTATGGGGCACAGAATAGGAACATCCAACCTAGTCTGGCAGCTGGCTCAGAAGAGGTTTCCAGAAAGAAATAATCACTGAACTGAATCTAAAAGGATGAGTTCTACCTAGTAGAAGAGAGGAGACTAGACAGACAGCAAAGCCTTCAGGGTGTAAAACAATACAGTACTTGAGAGAGCTACAGGCTTTTCCAGCTGGTGGAAAGAAGCAAGTAAAAGGGGTTAGCCAGGAGAGGCTACACCAGTTATGTAACAGACACTTGTCTTTAAAAACAAACAAAAATAGCTGGCTTTGCTAAAAGTGACGTCAAGAATTAATAAGTTTTATTTTTCAAAAGAAAACAGACTGGACAATTCCCTGATGGTAATTAAGAGGAAACTATACCTCCAAACTAAAGCCTCACTTTTTGGGCTCAGTAAATCATGTCAAATCACTCAGCAAGTAGGGCATTTAAAATTGTTTCAGATTTCGTTAACCTGTAGATAAAACTTCAAGTTTACAGGGAACACAGGGAATTAAAGAACAAGCTAAACAATCTAAAAGATAGGACATTCTGTGGGACAACCGGCTAAGTTCCTTCAGCACCACAAAAAAGAACCATTAAAGGATTTGCAAACTCCTGCCTGCAGCCCACTTCCTATTTTTATTTGCCCCCAGCTGAGAATGATTTTRCATTTTAAATAATTGAAAAAAAATCAAAAGAATATTTTGTGACATATGAAAATGACAAAAAAATTCACATTTCAAGTCCATAGTTTTATTGGAACATAACCACATCTGTTTGTTTATATGTTGTCTGTGGCTGCTTTTGAATGACAGGAGTGAGATAGGACAAACACAACTGCTGTCTCCTAGTATATTCTCACATCCACAACACTGTGAATATATCACCCCGCCCCCCCCCCACTGAACCCAGGGATGCTTAACCACTGAGTCACATCCCCATTCCTTTCTATATTTTATTTAGAGACAGGGTCTCATTAAGTTGCTCAGGGGCCTTGCTAAATTACTGAGGCTGGCTTTGAACTTGGGATCCTCCTGTCTTAGCCTCTGAAGTCGCTGGAATTACAAGCATGCGCCACCCTTAATACATCTTTTATGATACCAGATGTGGAAGTGTTATCTTCCCCACAACAACCAATTCTCCTGTGTGTCTACAATTTAACTCTATTCTGACACTCTCTGCCTAGAAAAAGTATCAGATCTCACAGGTTAGGGGCTTAGTCCCATGAGACTTCCCCCCTTTACCCCCTGACTCCCAACTTCAGGCACCAATGGAAAGTAATAAATTTCCAGGTATCCATAACTTCTGTGTGACTTGGGTATAAATCAGAAGTCCCAGCAATCCCCTTAGAGGGCTTGATCATTTGCTAGAGCAGTTCACAGAACTCAGGAAAATACTCTACTTTCAATTACCTATTCATTATAAAAGAAAACAACTCAGAACAGCCAGATGGAAGAGATGCACAGAGCTAGGTTTGGGGAGAACGAGAGTGACATTTCCATGTCCTCTGTGGCATACAACATACTCCTAGCTCCTTCCACAGGTATTCAGTAACCTTGAAGTTTTCCAAACCCTATCCTTTTGAGATTTTACAGAGATTTCATTATATAGGTATGACTGAGCAAATCACTGGCCACCGGTGAACAACTCCACCATCAGTTCCTCTTCCCTTCCCAGAGGTG